CCCTGGGGAAGAAAATGTTCCTATGAGGTTTTTCCGATCTGCGATATAAAAAAGTCTTGTCTCGGTCACGTGATGTGTCACGTGACCGGTCAGGTGAGCCTGTCAGCCGGGTCACGGCCCCTGTCAGCCGGCTGACATGTCACGGGCCTGCTGACACGGTCCGCTGACCGGTCACGGCCGCCCGGAGAGATCAGGCCCCCGGGCCAATCTCCGGACACTTAGCCTCCTGGCGGGCCTCCAGGGGGTCTGAGGCGGGGCTGAAGGCTGCAGTCGGTCTACTGACGGGCCCGGCCGGCAGGATCCGTCGAGAAACAGGGGGGTCAAGGGAGGTTTTCTTCCCCCTGGGAGAAATGTCCTATGGGTTTTTGGATCTGCGATATAAAAAAGTCTTGTCTCGGTCACGTGATGTGTCACGTGACCGGTCAGGTGAGCCTGTCAGCCGGGTCACGGCCCCTGTCAGCCGGCTGACATGTCACGGGCCTGCTGACACGGTCCGCTGACCGGTCACGGCCGCCCGGAGAGATCAGGCCCCCGGCCAATCTCCGGACACTTAGCCTCCTGGCGGGCCTCCAGGGGGTCTGCGGCGGGGCTGAAGGCTGCAGTCGGTCTACTGACGGGCCCGGCCGGCAGGATCCGTCGAGAAACAGGGGGGTCAAGGGAGGTTTTCTTCCCCCTGGGAGAAATGTCCTATGGGTTTTTGGATCTGCGATATAAAAAAGTCTTGTCTCGGTCACGTGATGTGTCACGTGACCGGTCAGGTGAGCCTGTCAGCCGGGTCACGGCCCCTGTCAGCCGGCTGACATGTCACGGGCCTGCTGACACGGTCCGCTGACCGGTCACGGCCGCCCGGAGAGATCAGGCAGGAAGGTGCTCCAGGTGTCCGCTGTCTCGTCCACGGTGTCGTACACCCTGCCCGGGCCGGCGGAGGCGCTCAACTTCCTGAAGCGGGTCTCGTCAAGCCTAAGCGCTCTGAGCGGCCTGCAGTACAACAGCTCTACGCAGCTCTGGTCCGTAAGGATGCGCTTCGTGCCCGAGCCCGGGTCGTTCTCCCTCCTCTACGTGACGCGCACCAACGGGTACACCCCCGCGGACGTCAACAACCCCTGCGTCCAGGCGACGGCGACGCTGTGCTGCGTCTGGGACCTGATGGCGCGGTACTACACCCCCGGCCTCGGGTCGAACTTGAGCTGCAGCGCGGCCCTAACGGCGCAGCAGTTCTTCGACTCTCTCGGAGCACAGAGCCTCGTAGCGATGGACCTCCCCTCCCTCGGGATCCGGTCGTACTACGCAAGTGCCCAGGATGAGGCCGACGGGTTGGTGACGGTGGAGCTGGCGCAGGGGGCGGTGGAGCAGTAAATCAGCACGCAGCAGGCCACCAGCCTCTCGCAGAGCGTCAACCGCTTCGGCATCGGGCTGCTGGTCGTGCAGCCCAACCCCAGCACCAGCCCCGAGGCCATCATCGACTTCACCGTCTTCGACGTCTTCAGCGTCAACAACTTCCTGCTCTCCGTCCGCACCTCGCAGGACTACACCGTGCTGAGCGCCATCCAGGCCTCCCTCCACCAGGTCTACTACCCCGTGGCCGGCCCCAACTCGACCGCCATGGGGGCCATGTACTACGCCAACATCAACTTCGTCGTCCCGCAGGCCTACCGCATGCTGGACACCCCGGGCAACATCGTCGCCTACCTGGGGACGCAGCAGCTCCCCTTCTCGCAGGCCGCCGCCTGGCAGTCCCCCTGCGGCGTCTACGGCCCGGACCCGAACGCCAGGCTGGGCCCGACCTGCAAGCTGAGCTCGACCCTCAACTTCTGCCACCCGGTCCAGCACGACTTCCTGGCCAGGCCGGGGATCGACATCAACCTGCAGATCCCCTTCGAGCCGGACCTCAGCGTCCCCGGCCTTTTCCTGTACGCCTCCGTCCTCGTGCAGCTGCAGGACTCGACGGGGGTCAGGCCCCCCGTCTTCACCAACGTCGTCCTCTCCGTCCCGCTGACGGGCTTCATCCAGCACTGCGCCCCGGTCCTCTCCGCGGCGGTGACCCTGCCGAACAACTACATCAGCGTGGTGATCGGAGGACGGGGCTGGAGGCCGGCAGCTCCATCACGCAGGACATCAACCAGCTCACCCACAGCCTGGGCATCGACAGCGCGCCGCTGGCCACCTACTCCATCGACCTGACGGGCTCCAGCCTCATCAGCAGCATCACCGACGCGCTCATCACCGTCAAGCTGGAGGGCTACCCCTCGTACTTCACGGCCAACCCCACCCTGCAGATCTACGTCGACCAGGTGCTGACGATCCACACGCTGAGCAACGCCACCCGGGCCAAGGTCAAGTACCTCATCGACAACTACGCGGCCTACTACACCGTGCCGCCCTCCCCCGGCGGCTCCTACACGCAGCTCGTCCTCAGGCAGGCGCTGCTGGACCTCTGCCAGGAGGGGGCGCCGAGCAACACCAGCGACTGCCTCTACCGATGGGAGGTGCAGGACCGCATCACCGTCGACCCCTTCTTCGCCCACCGCGTCTCCGGGACGAGCCAGGACACCACCTGGCTCGCCAACGTCATCGGCACCTCCGACCTCGCCTCCCAGGTCGCCATCAACGTCAGCCAGTACCAGGGCATACCGGGCGGGGCCGACCCGAGGTACAACTCCGTCGTCTGGCTCTACCCGGCCTACGCCTGGCCCGGCAAGTCGATGTTCTACCTCTCGGACTACGTCTTCGCCGCCGTGGCCTTCAGCGTTCAGGCGGTGGGCCAGCCCGTGGGGAACAGGCGCCTGCTCTCCCTGGATGAGCGCGAGCGGGAGGAGGGCAGGCTGAAGTGGGAGGAGAGGCGGAGGCAGAGGGAGGCGCGGGAGAAGATAAAGACATGGCACGGCCAGAACGTCAACGAGGAGGACGCGAGGAGGGAGGCCAAGGCGGCGGAGGGGAAGGGACCCAGGCGGGTCAGGAGCCAGCGCAGGCCCCACCTGCATGTGATCGAGAAAGTCGTGGAGGAGTACTGATGCGATTAAAAGATGTGTTCTATTTATTACCAGCACAACGATTCTGCTCCCTGAGCATCTCCCTGATCCTCTCACCAATCCTCTCCTTGAGTTTGTTCTTAAGCTTCTCCCTGAGGTGTTTCTTACTGACAGTATCCCTATGAATCCGCGCCCTCTCGCTGTAATCCCTGTATTCCTCCCTGCTTAGCTCGTTGTAGAAGGTGCTGCCAGCGAATTCCTCAAGCTTATCGTGCGAAGTGCCCAGCCTCCGAACCGCCAGCCAGTTGCTGTCCTCGATGAGGAGAGCAAGGAGTGTCAGCTTGATCCGGATGAACTGGATCTGGTCGCCGCTGGCGTGGAGGGTGGCGGCATCGAGGATCTGCGAGAGCGTCTGCCTCCCCAGATCCCTCTTCTCCTTACTGAAAATCATGGGGGAGAGGTTCTTCATGTGCCTTACCTCTTGCAGGAAGCGGTCCAGCCTGGTCTGTTGCCGCTCGCGCTCCGTCGGGTACGGCGGGTAGCATATCTTCACGCGTGGCGGCATGGCGGTGGGGGCGCGGGGGCGGGGTGGATTTCTTTTGAAGACCCTCCCCCGCTCGAAAAAAAAACACCCGGAATAGATCAAAAAAAAATACAAGAAAGAAACACAAAATGTAAAAAAAAACACAGCACCAAAAAAAACCCACGAAGACTTCAAAAAAAAAACCACCCCCACCCTCCTGTCAGAAAGGGTGGTGGGGTATTTCCCCCACTCCGGACCCTTTTTAATTAACCGCCGCGGCCGCCGGGCCCCACCAGCCACGCATCCACGCGCCATTGCCGTGATGAGCCAGACCACCGCCCCCGCGCCCCTTCCCTCCCAGCCCTCGACCCCCTCCTCGCCCCTCTCCTCTGCCCTCTCCTCTACTGTTCTCTCTGACCCCACTCCTAGAGATACCAACCCTTCCCTACCCGAGAAGGCGGCACTGAAGCGCATCCTCCGCTTCCTGCGCGGCCGCGCCTACCACCGCTCCCTGCGCAACACAGTGAAGCGCCTGCAGCGCACCGGGGCGATCGATCACTGGGACTCTTCCGTGGAGTTCAAGGACAAGGCACGCGCCCTGCAGAGGAAGTGGATCGTGCGCGACTTCAAGCACTTTGTCACCACGGCGATCTACCTGATCCAGCGGGACATGGTAAAGCGCGGCCTGAGACTGACTGACAGCGAGCACGTGGGTGTCTTCAACATCCGCAAGTTCATCGCCGCGATCCTCATCGACAACCGTCCGGAGGGCTGCTTCGAGACGCTCGGACGGCTGGAGGCGAGGGTGCAGGACGCCGCCCGCCTGATGATCACGACCTTCCGTGGCATCTGCCGCATCCACCCCACCGTCTCCTGGCGCCCCGAGGGCAGCCAGAGCTGGGCGGAGTGGAGGGACTTCCTGTCGCAGCTCAACAACTACCTGGTTTGCTTCGAGATCTGGAAGGTGCCCGATGAGCACAAGCTGACCGAGCGCGTCAAGCACGGCCTCCTCGCGCTCTACAAGGCGGAGTCGCACCTGAAGCCTGGCGACATCGACATGACGAAAATGAAGCAGGATTTCCATTCCCAGAAGCTGAAGCTCCGCATGAAGCTGAAGCAGATCGCGGGAGAGAGCGGCGTGCGGCTCTTCGACGACTTCCTCCGTGAGCAGGGCTTCATCGTGACGGAGGAGGACCTGCAGGAGTACGTCCCGGAAAGCGAGGAGGAAAACGTCAAGGTGAACAAGGACGGGGTCTCGTCACTCCCCGGGCGCATGACGAACGAGCAGCTTGCGCACGAGCTTCTCCTCGACCCAGGCTTCAAGCTCGACGCCCAAGGCGCGGGGTACGTGGAGAACGAGACCCTCTCCAACATCCGGGAGGCTTTCAAGCAGTCCTTCTGGGCGAGCCTCGTCGACGACCTCAGGCTCTCCGTCCCCTGCTACGTCCGCGTGCTGAAAGTGGTGGGCGAGGTCAGGGACGGGATCATCGATCTCGTGCCCAGCCGGGCTCGGGAGCTCAGGGAGAAGATCGACATCGCCTACTGGAAGGAGCAGATCGACCAGGAGCTTATTGACTGGCCCTCCTGCGTCGCGCTGATCGACACGCTGCTCTCCATCGAGATCGATATGCAGCGCGGGGAGCTCAAGCAGGAGACTATCAGGGAGAGGGTTCGTATCAAGGAAGAGATGGAGGGCGCCGCCACCGAGGACCAGCCCAGGATCTTCTGTGTCTCACTGCAGTTTGCGCTCGATCAGGTCAACAAGATGAGGGTGGAAGCTGCCAACGACCGCCTCCGGAGCATCGCCTTCGTCATCCAGAACCACGGGGTGGAGTATGAACGGGCGCACATGGCAAGGAAGATTAAGAAGAACCCCCTCTACCTCCGCATCACGCCGAGCTGGATCCGCAAGACGGTGGAGGCCGAGACGACCAGGAGCTTTGGTATGCTTTCCAAGATCCTGACGGGTGACAGCCAGGCGTACAAGGACATCCACTCCCTGGCCGTGCTGCGCCTGGTTGCATCGGACGAGCCTGTGCAGACGGACACCTGCCCGGAGACCTTGTCGCTCGACCTTGTGAGGCTGCAGCACCTCCACAACCAGTTCAACTTCGACAAGATCGCGGCCTGCATGCTGGCCATGGCCTCGCAGCGCCTGCGGGCAAAGGGAGGCTCACCGGCGGTCGACGACGTCCTGCTCCGCATCAAGGCTTCGATTGACAGCTTCGACGCTTCAAGGCTGGGAAAGGACAGGGCCAGGGACGCGTTTGTTGCGGCTCTGGAGAACGACCTCACCCCGGTGGATAAGGACACCATCTCCTCGCGTCTTCCCGGGAACAAGGCCTACTCCGCCGAATTCCTCAACGATCTCCTGGAAGTCGCCCCTCTCGTCCTTATTAACATGCACAGGCCGATCGAGGACCAATGGCGGAACATTGTTGTCGACCGCAACTTCAACCCCCCCACCTCCAAGTTCCTCCAGGATGTGTTTGACAGGATCCTCCGCAGCGGGAACTTGCTTGTGAAGGTGGTCGAGCTCAACCAGAAGGTTCACTTCGATACCTACAACGAGATGATACGCTCGGAGGGCAAGAGGATATTTGAGCTCCGGGATTAAACGTGCGTGTTTCGTGTGTTTCGTTTGTGTTTTCATTCGATAATAAAATGGCGTAATCAGCCCTTTGAGACTCTCGTCTTACTGATCTCCATCTCTACCAACTTTACACGGTCTGTCAGGTTGTGTATATCGAGAGATAAGGAATCCATGGTATCATTCATATCGGCCATACTGTTGAGCAAGAGATTGTTAAGCTCGTTCAGATCCTTCTTGAACTTGTTAAAATCCCTGACGATCTTCTCGTTGGCAAACCCCCACAGTTCTACCTTGTGGCTCGTGCGCTTCAACCAGTCGTTCTCCTTCTCTAACACATCATCCACGTCCTTCAACAGCCTCCCGGACGCATCCTTCAAGTCGGAGCTGGCATCGTCCGATGGCAGATGGTCCCATGGTCTGCCGCTCATCTTGCCGCTCCTTGCATCGAAGAGTTAAAATAAGGGATTCATTCAAAGTCAGAAAATATCTGCAACAAGTTAAATATTTAAGAGATAATGAAGAGTGTTCACTAACACAAAAATGAGTTTCTTTGATATTCGAAAAATCGTGGATCCCGACTTCTGCCCGAAGGTCATGACCATGCCTGAGCTTGAAGAATCAGTCTTTGAACTTCATCGCAACATCACTGGCATTCACACAATTGTGTGCGGTACGGACTATTTCCGCAACGCTATGATCATCGACAAAGAAAATACGATTTTCACTTGCAAGGACATCCTCAAGATGTTCTCAGATTTCATGTCGTGGTCTCAAGACATCCGGAAGTTCGAGAAAATGGACAAGTTCGTACTCAGATCGTTGGAGGAGGTTGAAATAACCTTCCGCCGAGTCATGAAGTACCTTCTAGGTAAGAGGAAGTTTGATCATATGTAATAAATTAATTTCCTGTTTTCGTACATGCGCTTTATTGAATATGATACATTGGTAACCTAGTATTATACGTCCTCGGCGCGGGCCCGGGAGAGGTCTACCTGGATCCACTCCCTCTCCTCCTGCCTGATGCAGTCCGTGATGCGCGGGCGCTTCCGCTGCTCGAAGATTGTGATGGTTACCTTCACGTTCTTCTCGTTGATTTTCGTCTTGGTGCGGGCCATGGGTGTCATACGGCTCGGACGGCCGAGAGGCTTATATACTGACGCCCGAAAGACCCTTGCCGGAAGCCTTGTCGAGGCAGGCACAGGTGCGGCCCTTCCACTTCCCCCCCTTGGCCCGCTCGACCCGCTCTGACGCCCGGTGCTCCACCTCCTCCTCCCAAGACCCGGGCCCGGTCTGGGGTACGTGGTGCTCGCCAAGGTCCTTGCGGTACTCTGCGGGGTCGGTGAGGTCCAGCACCCTCACCATCCCATGGCCCGGGCCTTGTTCCAGCGCCTTAATACGCCCTGCAATACCCCGGCATCACTCGATGTACCTCCTCACCACAGGCCACAGCCGCCTCCACCCGAGCTCGACGTCGTCCACGCACTTGCCCCCCGTGATCACCACCTTGCCGCTCTCGAAGCAGAGGAGGACGACGGGGGAGTTGTCGGGGCGGAAGATGAGGCCCGGGAAGAGGGACTTCTGGAAGGTGCACTTGGAGCACTGCTCGCTGTACATCCGCTCCAGGTTCAGCGACTTGCCCCCCTCCAGGTCGATGATGGCGTTGCCCACGATGTTCTGGACGACGATGTCCTCGACGAAGAAGTCAACCCCGAGGACATGCGAGCGCAGCATCTCCACCACCTTCAGCGAGGCGTGGAGGCACTTGTACCAGCTCTGCGAGCCCGTGAGGACCAGCTTCCCCGAGCTGAACAGCAGGACGGTGCAGGTCGGGTTGTCGATGCGGATGGTGATGGCGGCGAACTTGTGCTTGTCGTAGAAGCTGTTGGGGAGCACGCTGGCGACGTAGGAGAGGTTCAGCGGGATGACGCTCGACCTGATCTTGGTCGTGCTGACGATGTTGTGGATGAAGGCCGGCGGGCAGGTCTCGTCCTGGTCGGCCCCCGACAGCAGGGAGATGTCATCCATCGAGAGAGCGGAGTAGTGGCGCTTCTTCATTCACTTTCCTCCCCGCCTCACTCTCCCCCCGTCCTCCTATCCCCCCCCTAGCGTGATACACCTACGACCAAAAAAAAAAGAACTGCCATGTAGGGTCCGAGACAACCAGGCACGGTATAAGACTGGAAAACGGAACGTGTATGGCATCAGGTTGGGTGGGGAGGGAAACGGACATGCAGCAGCCGACCCAGAAAAGCCACCCGATGGCGATCGAGCTCAGCCCTTACCAGTCCGTGATGATCCACGGGTGGATGAGGCCCTGCTCTGTCCTGACATGGAAGCACGTGATGGCCAGCGAACAGCTGACGTGGCCCTTCCTCCGCTCGATCGGGCTCAGCCCGGAGCGGCTCAAGGCACTGCAGCCGGACCCCGCGGAGTGGGTCAAGCACGGCGACGTGCAGCTCTCCATGCTCCCGGACATGCTCTGCTTCCCCGTGCACCCGATCCTCCACCTCAGGGCGGACATCAGCGAGATCTGGCAGATGCAGCTCCCGTCCCAGCTCCTCGAGGCCATGGGCGTCACCTACCAGCAGCTCGTCGACATCGGGATGACAAAGCAGATCATGGCGCGGTGGTCCTTCTCGCTCAACCGCTGGCGCTCGCTGGGGTTCAGGGAGGGGGACCTGCAGGGCTGGACCGACCGGGACTGCGTCCAGGTCTTCCACCTCTCGCTGCAGCAGACGCAGGCGGAGCTCAGGAAGCCGGTGCTTAAGTGAGTTTGAACATCAGGGTTTATTATATTTCAAAAAATATATACATTTCTCCCGTGTATCATTGATACAATTCAATAAACCGTCAAAGACCATCATGGATGGATCGTAAAACGGCTGCGGCTTTCCACTGTCAAGTGCAAAAATATCACGATAGTTCTCTAAAGGAAGTTTATCCAATGTTCGGATATATTCACTGATCTTAACCATGGCAGTATCCAGTATAATTTTATCACCAAACAGCAATTCATCCTTTGAATGAAATTCCCATACTCGTTCTACGATTCCTGGGTCATGATGTGATTCTAGAATATGCTTGTATGCTACTTCTTTGTAAATAGCCGTTACGACAATCAGCTCGAACATTGCTATTGATTCTTCGATGACCTTCATGGCGGATTCATACTTGTCCTTATGCTCGTCTTCTACTATGAGGTATTTTCGAAGAAATTTGACATGGATTGACATTGCGCGAGTCCTGAGCAACAGACCTTGAAATTTTGCACGGTCAAATTCGTTGAGCAAGAACTTTTTCTTGAATATGAACTTGAACGGCTTCGCAAAATCTCGTCCGTATGTTGTCATGAGATTATTGTCAATATACTCCGGAATTTGAAACTTACCCCATTCAAGGTCTTCGATCGTCACCTTGCGACTTATTTTCAATATTTTAAAACAACTTTCAACATCCTCGAAATATTTCATGTATTCATCGATTTCCCGTGCCATCATCAACCTTTTCAACGTATCCGATTTATACTTCAATGCATCCACCCAGCCCTGCAAAACACTCAATCGTTTGTCAAACACATGAAGCAACGATGCATCATGTTCATCATTGAAATTGGTATATACCCTCGCCATATGTATCTGATGCCGAGCGTCAAAATCATCTTAAATATGGGCTGATTTTTCTTTATTCTAGAATGATTAGCGGCACTGGGAGTAGATCAGGACGTCGATGGGCTCGAAGGGCCTGCCGCCGTTCACCACCCGCCCGAAGACGCGGCAGCGGTCGCCGTACCCGCAGCCATCGTAATGGTAGGTCTTGGGGTAGATGATGTTCCGCTTGAACTCGGCGCCCCCCCTCCTGCGGTCCTGGTCCGGGTACATGTCCGGGTAGTTGCCATACTCCCGCATCTCGTGGAAGTCCTTCCGCTCGCCGGCCTTCGCCCCGATGCGTACAGGATCGTGCTCGTAGAACTCACCGTTGTTGTCGATGGCATCCACGTGCACCGGGTTGACATCGAAGTGGCCACCCCGCCTCCTCGTCCCATCGTCGTTGAACATGATGCTCTCGAAGTCGAAGTACCAGTGGACGACGTCCCCCGTGTAGGCGTGGAAGTGCCCGTTCATGATCGTCGCGAAGCCGGCCACCAGCACCGACCCGACGGTGTCGCCGAAGTTGGACGTCGCCCACGCCTGCGTCTGCACCACCCCCTGGAAGGTGAACTGCGGGAGGTGGAACTTGAAGCCAGGGTCCCGGGCGGCGCGGGCGATGACGTTCTCGCGCGTCTCCTCGAACTGCTCCATCGTCTGGGTGTTGTACACCGCGCGGATCAGGTTGCGGGTCTGCGCGTCGATGAAGCCCAGCGTGGTGACGACGGGTGGGTAGGGCTGCTTCTTCTGCTTGAAGATCATGTTGTTGTTGGTGTTGTAGGGGATGCTGCAGCACAGTGCAAGCTCGTGCTTGTGCATGCAGTACAGCATCTTGTCCCGGTGGATCCGGTCCTTGGTCTCATCGGTGGCCAGCATGCGCAGCGTGTCCTCCGACACCTGGCACTGCAGGATGTGCTTCGGACCCGAATGCACCTGCGTCCCCGTGATCTGCCCCACGCTCGCCATACTCTCCCGATGCCCCGTCCCGCGAGTCTTAAATACCTTTGATTTTGGATGGGTGTGAATTGCGGGATGATTTAACAAGGTAAAGTACTAATCTTTGAGCTTTATTGCCGTGTGATACATATATGACCCATTAACCTACGGGAGCCTGGTCGTTATAACCTTGCGCTAATTCTTCCGAAGAGTCGCGAGTATCGCTTGATACATATCGATTTGATAAGTGAAAAAATTCACCATCACCATCTCCATTTTCTGATCGGTTGTAGGGTCGAGCAATGCCTTCTTTGAATCCTCCAGATTGGATTCAGATTCTTCCATCAAGAACTCGGTCCTTTTAATTTCAACATTGACCTTATGCCGGGAAGCGGTACCGAGAAAGTCAGTCGCCATTTGCTCGCCAAGTTGCTTCGCGAAGAATTTCCTTTCTTCGGAAGTTTCTTTACTCATGCAAACGGGTAATCAAACGAACGTGTTAGAGAGGAAGATATCGACGGGCTCCCAGGGCTGCCCGCCGTTGACGATCCTCCCGATCACCCTGCACTTGTCCCCGTAGAGGAAGCTGCGCTGGTCGGCGACCTTCCGCAGCGGCTTGATCAGCGCCACGTTCTGCTTGCCCCGGTTCTTCTCCTGGAAGGTGCCGAACATCCGCTTCTGGTACCACTCCTCCCTCCCGTTGACGGGGAAGCGGATCGCGTTATTCATGTTGGGAACCTGCCGCCGCTGCCCGTCCGGCTCGAACTCCTCCGCCTCGAAGTCGAAGTACCACTGCACCAGATCCCCCGTGTAGCAGGCGAAGTGCCCGTTGAGGACCGTCGCCATCCCCCCGATCATGACGAACCCCACGGGGTCGCCGGTGAGGTCCGAGGCGTAGGCGGTGCCGACGCTCACCCCCACGAAGTCGAACTTGAAGGGGAAGAAGTGGGCTCCACGATTATTGTAGATGATGCCCTCGTCAGTTCTGGGTCAAGCAGCGAGATGGAGCTCAGAAATTTGGCTCTGTGTTTTTGAGTCTTGGACCTCTGAGGCGGGTGTGTAAGTGTTTGAGGGTAGGGAGGGAGGGTGGGTGAGGTCCTAAACTGGTCTTTGGGTGGGGTAGGGGTCATATTCGGAAGAAGTTTATGTGAATGAGCACTAAACCTCTCAAAAAACTACAAAAGTGTATATATTTGTCCGGACTACATCTTACACCTCTTGTTGATTGGAAATTGATGCCCCGGGCATCGCCGTAACAAACAGCTATTGGAAGCCCACACCCTTGTTTCTTGTTGCAGTGTTGACTACCGGATGGTTGTGGATTTCAAACGGACAATGATTGTTTTAGTTTGGTTTATGCTTGTTATTGCATTGTGGCACAGCATCTTCTTTACTCAGCTTTCGTCCATCAATTCTTCGAACATACATGGTAAAAGTTTGAACACGAAGGATTCGGGGGATGAAAAACTTCTAGATCGTTTGTTGCTCACACTGGAATCTCTGATGATCAAAACAGGAATCCTTACTTGATATGGGTATAAGGTGCTCGTCCTGTGCAAATTACGCAGACAGCACTAATCGGAAATTTTACCACCTTCCGCTGATCAGATCACATGAACTTCGACAAAGATTGGATCTTTGCATAAGCATTGAACCGCTCGCTATGATGCGTGCCAGAAATGAATCCATATTAATCGCAGATGAATCGCAGAGCAAACTAAACAAGCGATACATATTCTAACTGTATTCCACCAGATCCTTCAAATCTTCTGGGGAGTGGATCCAGTCATATGTCCTGGTGCGAGGGATACAAAAACGACAGCTCAGGCATCAGAGCGTGGATTGCAGGCGATATACTACGCTGCAATCTCGTCCATGTTGGGTCTTAGGTTTGAAAGTGACGATGACAGCGCCCTGTGCGCGGTAGCCCACCGATTGCTATGCGTTGATTTACTTCTTGATCTGGTTCTCGAACCTGACGCAGTGGAAGTGGGAGATTTCGAGGACCTGTCGCCTCTTGATGCAGTCTCCATTTTGATGCAGTTGTGGTTTAGCCTCGTTTTTGCTGACCCCAACGGTGCTTGCTATGCACTTGCACATGCGGAGGATGTTGAGCCACTCCTTGTTCGTCTCCACCCCCTTCGTCTGACCCACGTAGATCACCAGCGGCAGGCTGTGCTCGTGGATCGCCTTAATAAGAATAAGAGGTGCAGGCTGTGCTCGTGGATCGCCTTAATAAGAAGTGAGGGATCGAAGTAAACCAGGATAGGAGACAATTTTAGACATGTTCAAGCTTGTCGAAGGCAGTCTGACAGGCAGATGCACAGTGGAACGGCACTGCTTTGCGAAGCAGGGCATGCAAAGGCACGGCAGGCTCGGCGTATCTATGAAGGTATTTGCTGTAATAACCCGAGACGCTGAGAGATTTTTATGTTTTCGCGTTTCGGAATCTTCCATTGCAGGGGACGAAGGCAACCCGGAGGCGTAATTTGAGGGATATTGCAGCGGACATGCCAATGCTATCTGGAGCAAGCAGAGGAACAACCGGGTCTCAAACCTTGGAGGACTTCAAGGATTGCAATGTCATCACCTTAGGTCCCAACAACATATGGCGTGCACGCCGGCGAACACGTCCGCCAAGTCCTCGCCTCCGCGGCCTACAGCACGTGGGAGCGCGAGGCCCGCACAGCCTGCGCGAAACCCCGGATCGCCTTGTTCGAGTGCGTGATGTGTCGTTCATCAGCCCCAACAGGGCCCTCGGGCGTGGCCTGCATCAGCCGGCCTGTTAGCATGCAGGGACGGGGTTCTCTTCCCTGCGAGAGAGCATGTTGCCTCTCGAAGGGCTGTTTAATATCTAAGGAGGACAACCCTGTTTTTCCTCCGCCAAGAGAAGTACTCCTGTCTGCTTTCTCGAAAGTATAGAAGGATCCTCCTCGTTAGAACCAGGTAGACATTTTCCCCTTCTGTGTTTGTGCCATGTTGGTTTGTGATGCATCAGAGAGTGTTGGCTTGTTGTGTTTGCAGTGTGAGCTCCGCTAAGGTCAATCCCGTATAGCCTCGGGGTGTGACAAATGTCGAAAACGTTTGAAAGGCGTTACACAGGCTTGAAGGGACATCCTTCCCCTTCTCCGCTATTCCAGTCCGATGGCAGTCGCCCAGGCCAATCTGCACCATGCCTCGAAAGCGATTGACACGTTCAATCTGATTCGGGTAGAGTGCTATCACGTCATGCTCCCGGTTGAACCTCGGGGATGATCGAGGACGAGGAAGCGATCTTGTGCCCCGTTTTGAGGCGGATTAATTTCGAATCGCAGTGGATCAATCGATTTGTCCGGCGATTTCGACGCGAAGTCTTTCCTGCCAGTTGCAGGTTCCGCTGTGGTTTGAACAGCAACTCGTGGGAGAACATCGAGTTTAATCCGCCTTCGAGCGAAGTTGGGACCCTTTCAGGGAAGTTTGTGGACGCGTTCGCTGTAGGTAATAACTTGATTGCACGAATATCAATTTTTTTTAAAGGTCTTTTGTTACATAACCAGATTGAGTGATATCAGTTTTCAGTGTGAGAAGGTACTGCCACCTTGGATGTCGTAAGGGATGCTCCAGAATATCCTGGTCACTCAAAGTTCTGAGATTTGCTTTCCAGAGCACGAAGTTGAAACCAACATGAAATTGCTCGACCCAACCCTTAGGAATGTCTACACGTCGAAAATCGTTTTCGATGTCTCGGTGATGTTCATCCCACGACCTCTCGTAGACCAATGTGCGGAAAATTTGAAAATTTCGTTTTGAGAGATGCAACAACTGCCGACCCACAACATTGTTTGTAGTACATGAAGTATCCCACGTTTCAAGAAGAATAACTCTGAACTCAACACCATGATTCATCAGGTTGATAGCTTGCTGGAGGACGAAGCAGTCTATGGAGTCTGTGTCTATTTTCAAAAAATGAACAACCGTTTGTGATGCAACAAGTTGACGGAGCGATACCAACGGTACTTGCTCAAGCTTGTACGGCATACTCATAATATTTCCATTATAGCGCCAAAAGTGTTCATTCACTCTCAATCTTGCAGTTGAAGCAAAAGAATCTGACTTAGACATTCCAGCACAAAGCACTATAGAATCATTCTGCCATCCCTGCGCGGCAATCGAGGCCCTGGTAGCCAAGCAGAGATCTGCCTGGGGTTCTACAGCAACAACCCGGGCACCTAAACTCAACATTACCATAGTGTGTGGTCCTACGTTCGATCCCACATCTATACCAAAGCAATTTTCATGTCGAGAACGGAAATTGCATTCCAACATATATGTAGTAATAATATCACGTACGTGTGGATCAGGGGTCCATGTAGAATTTCCTATCAGAGCATTCTGGCAAATATTTCCTTTGGTCAGATGACTGCCAAGGAGGCATTGACGATTGACAGTTTCAATCACAATTGGAATTGCGCTGAGTGGAAAACGCTTACTCAAAGCATGTCTTGGATTTGTGATTGAAAAAAATCGTGACAAAACAGATTCCTGATCAGTGCGAAGACTGGACAATCCATCCTTGAGACTGGAAATAAATTTTTGTAACGGAACTAGTGAATTATTACGAAATTCGTGATTTAGATTAGAAGAACTTGGAGGATCCGTGAGTACACATGAATACTGACTACTTCTATTCCTCACAATGACTAAGTTCGACAATATATTTACGAAAGCAGAAAATAAGATGAATGAAGCTACAATATTATGTAAATTGATTGTCATTACAAAACCCACCTCGCTTTACAAGATTTCCCTGAAATCCTACACTTTATTAAAAGTATTTTAGGGGTGCGGGATCCTAAGGAGCGTTTCACGAGCTTTTCAAGGTCAGAACGGCCTCGGAAAGGGGTCATGGACGGTCGGACTAGAAAGATTACATCAAGACTGACCCCTAGGAGTCCGCGCGCGCGAGGTTTGCTAGAAAGGTGTCGAATTCTAATCCATTCTTCTTCTTTCTTTGCATGTTGCTTAGCGTGTTTGCAATCACCTTTGATTTCAAATTGAAATCACCAACTATGCACTATTGCCCGCTTTCTGTCATTAGATTTTATTGCAAGAAATACATGCGTGTCTCTATTTCAATAGATATTCACATTCTCACTCAGCAATCCAACAAATGTATCATCTTCCCTTTTTGAACTCATAAAAATGTGTCGGATTAGAAAGACTGCTTTAGTCTATCCTAGAGCTGCAATATACATGACGCCATTCTGTATCAATGCTCACATCATCAAATGTCAATAATGCATTTTTATAAAACATCTTCAACGATGGATTCTGATTGATGATGCTCTTGTCAGAGAGTATTATGCTATCCTCAAGGCCAAGCTTGTTTACCAATATCTGAGCCCTTTGTTCATGTGTTACACAACCTAATATTGGGTATTGTCATTAAGGAAAAATGGATCCTTTCAATAAGGCTAAAATAAGGAAGGGCATGTTTATCCTCTCCTGTAGGCTTAAGGTATTCAAAGTAATCTGTTGCATCCTCTTTGTTCTTATTCTTCAATCTTCCATTGTCAACATAAAGATTCTCATTCCAAAAGAACTTAAATACATGGGCCTGCCCTCTGCTATCCTTCTTCTTGTTCTCATTCAAAAAATTGTTCTTAGCGTTCCACGCCTTATGCAGTGCAATCAAGAAGAATCTATGCAAAGAATTTTTATCCCTCTTTGTTACACATTGTGATAGATGCAGGTAATACTGGTCTGCGGGACCCGCGCGTGTATTGCAGGCGATAGGCGCTGCAATCTTGTCCTTGTAGGGTCTCTGCTACGCCGCAAATTCCCGCTTCACCCGCTGATCGCCCATGGCTCTCCGTGGACTTGATCGTGTCACACCCGTGAGCGGCGGACCAAGCCGCAGTCGTAGCAGACCGACATGCCCGTCGCGTTGTTGAACTTACCCGGTGGGCACTGCAGACAGTACGCCGCCCGGTACGTCTCCGAGTAAGTCCCGGCGCCGCACTCGGGGCAGCCACCACCCTCGCCGTACTGCATCCGCGTGCCGGGAGGGCAGTCTGTACAGGCGGAAGAACCCTGCGGCGCATACTGCCCACGGGCACAGGGCGTGCAGTTGGTGGATACGCCGACGGAGGAGCTGTTCAAGGGGCAAATCGATATGCAAGGGCAGACGAAACCACCGTCGCTGTAGTGCATGCCGAGCGGGCAATAGGCAGGGATATCCGACTTCGGCACGCAAATCCCTGCGGCTGCGCCGCCGCACCCCACCAGCACCTCGGTCGTCTGGCAAATGGGACACGGGGTGCAATGCCCGGACGTGTCGTTCTGACATCCCGCCCGGTACTGGTTCCTTAGGCAGGCAGGGCACGCCTCGCACAAGCCGGGGCCGAACCGTCCGCACCCCACCCTGTACTCACCCTCGGCGCACCCAACACAGGGCTCGCAAGCGCTTGTGCAGTCCCTCCTGTACTCCCCAACGGGGCAATCCGTGCAGGACTGGCAATACCCGGGCGATGTCCCACCGCACCCCACAAGGGTCTCAAACGCGCTGCAAGCCACGCAAGGGTAGCAAGAGCCAGCGCTGCTCCCACCTAAGCCGGCAGCGTAATTTCATATGTGTATGTCCCGTCCCCACACGCCCCACAGTACATACGTATGTCCCGTCCCCACACGCCCCACGGTCGATGCAGGAGGTTTCATTCGACACGCCGTTGCAGCCAGGGAAGTACTGGCCGGCGCTACTGAGGAAGGGCACGGCCCGGCCTGCAGGCGCCCTGGCTCCCACCGCCACATCCATACCTGTACTGGCCCAGGGCACAGCTCGGGCACTGCTGGCATGTCCCATCCACAAGGTAGTACCCCTCGCAGCAGGAAGACCCCAGCGCTGAAGTCGAACCCCTGGGGCAGGGGTTGCAGGAGACTGCCTGGCCTGGTTCTGGTAGGTACCAACGGGACACTGCTCACACACACCGGGGGACGGAAGGTAACTCCCCGCGGGGCAGTCCGAGCAGAAGGTCTGCTTCACGTCCTTGCAGCTTCCTTGGCGCCCTGGCAGCTTCCCCTACACCACGCGAACAACCATGGTGCCTGAAATAACCGGCGCTACCTGAAATAACCGGCGCTGCCTGAAATAACCGGCGCTGCCTGAAATAACCGGCGCTGCCTGAAATAACCGGCGCAATCTCCGGACACGGAAGTTAGCCTCCTGGCGGGCCTCCAGGGGGTCTGAGGCGGGGCTGAAGGCTGCAGTCGGTCTACTGACCGGCCCGGCCTGCAGGATCCGTCGAGAAACAGGGGGGTCAAGGGAGGTTTTCTTCCCCCTGGGAGAAATGTCCTATGGGTTTTTGGATCTGCGATATAAAAAAGTCTTGTCTCGGTCACGTGATGTGTCACGTGACCGGTCAGGTGAGCCTGTCAGCCGGGTCACGGCCCCTGTCAGCCGGCTGACATGTCACGGGCCTGCTGACACGGTCCGCTGACCGGTCACGGCCGCCCGGAGAGATCAGGCCCCCGGCCAATCTCCGGACACTTAGCCTCCTGGCGGGCCTCCAGGGGGTCTGAGGCGGGGCTGAAGGCTGCAGTCGGTCTACTGACCGGCCCGGCCGGCAGGATCCGTCGAGAAACAGGGGGTCAAGGGAGGTTTTCTTCCCCTGGGAGAAATGTCCTGATCTCTCCGGGCGGCCGTGACCGGCCAGCGGACCGTGTCAGCAGGCCCGTTACATGTCAGCCGGCTGACAGGGGCCGTGACCCGGCTGACAGGCTCACCTGACCGGTCACGTGACACATCACGTGACCAAGACAAGACTTTTTTATATCGCAGATCCAAAAACCCATGGGCGCTCATAGGAAAAATTGGCGAGATTTTTTTTTTTCGAAGGGCCTGTGGGATCCCTTCATTTCATGCCATGTGGGAGTACCCTACTTTGAGAAGGCGTGTAGGAGGGTACTCGCTCTTAGGAAAATCGTTGCTGCGCAGGGCCAAAGAGGGGTAGGGTGATTTGAATTTGGTTGCTTGGACACCTCACCACGCCAAACCAAAGTAAAAGTACGAATTTTAGAAGTATCTGTGGTACCAACTTAATATTGCAGCGTTTACATGGTACAAAACGAGGGCCAAACTGGTCGGAACTTCGACTTCCGAGAACCCCTCCGTTTGACTTTCGTTGGGGGGTGGGGTGGGGATGGAGCACCCTCAACTACCCACCTTTGATCCAGTTTGAAACTCTGTGATAGGGTGCATGAATCCTGACCGTAAGACTAGAAGAATTGAAAGTGAGTGATGACATGAGAACACATATCTAGACAGCAAAGTCGCTTAAGGTACAGTTTGATACAAATTTCTCACAAATCATGCATTTGAGCTCAACGTTCAACCTACGGCAATTTGAAAGAAGGGTCAATCAGAGTTGATTCTGTTCAATGGTGAATCTATCATTAGTTGCTTAGCTGTTCATGAAAATTTCATCTTGTCTTCGAAGAATATTTTCAAGTACACACGCGGATTGTTTGTACCTAGGGTGCATATTCCAGTACATGATGGATGATTCAAACCTTGGCCCAACCTGCAGAGTTGAGAAAGAAGCTCGATCATCTCTTACAGGTATGATATGAGATCTTCATCTCATTCCTATCTCAGTTGGGTTGGATTCGAAGTCTCTCAATATCAAGGTTCATCCTCGCGAGTCAGGAAGGCACCATTTCATCGCCTCTTGCTCGTCCAGGGAGAGGGGGCTTGGGGAATGAGAAATGGGGGCTACCCCCCACCCGTGGTTTCAAGCAATCGAGCAGCTCACTGCTAAAATGCACTGTATTTCTTGCGAGCAAATTAGCCATCATCGTGAAGACATGTGTTCTTGAGCTCACTGGTGACTGTACGGCTTTTGAACAATCCAGTCACCGTCGGATGATGATTCCCTGTCGTCTTGTGTGTAATCTCCATCCATCTACTCCAACTCAGTTTCCCTGTCATGCATCGCAGATAGCTTAGGGTATTTCACAACCCGGTTTCGATTGCAACGTATCCCTGTGATGGTGATTTTCACTTGTATTATTGATGCTCTTCGCTCACCAAACGATTTTTCGTGAGATCCACGCACTGTACGAAGCACTCCTCAAGGATCATCATCTCTACACCTCAGGAATTTCCCATGAGGAGGTTCGGTGAACATCTGATGTCTGCACACGCTGCCAAGGGCTCGCTGTTTGCGAGCCATGGTTAGGGCAGTACAGAGCGGTGCGACGTGCCCCGAACAAGGGGAGGCTCATGGCGTGTAGAGAGGTCGTTCAAACTTGTTTATAAAATTGTACCATAAGAAGGCTCTACAAATTAGTTAGTAGACTACCCCATGATCTCACTGCAACTTCTGGAGTGCAGCCCTACTTCTCTGTTTATACTCAACCATTCCACAATACAGTTTAAAATATCTTACAGGGTCCGTGACCCGGCTGACAGGCTCACCTGACCGGTCACGTGACACATCACGTGACCGAGACAAGACTTTTTTATATCGCAGATCCAAAAACCCATAGGACATTTCTCCCAGGGGGAAGAAAACCTCCCTTGACCCCCCTGC